CAGTCATTTTGGCGATGGCCTTTCTTTCCACAAAAGAAACAATTCCAGAAAAATTTCTTTTGGCCATTACCGGGCTTTTGAACTTCTTGTCATTATTGACTTTGAAGTTCTTTGAAAACTTACTGGCTTCGGCAACATTAACTTTAGAGGAATCAACATTTTTGTTCTTGGAATCACGAGACTTAGTCTCTTATTCTATTCTCAAGTGTTTTTGTAATTCCTCCAAAGTTATGTCATCTCTCCTATGAAGGAGTTTCTTTCTATAACCATTCCAACTTTGAGGCAATTTAGCAATAATTGCCCCCACTTGGAATGATTCAGAAATCTCAACCTTCAATTCACGAAGCTTAGTAATAATGACTTGTAATTCATGTATTTGATCTAGAACGGACTTGGTGTCAACCATGACATATTCTAGAAATTTCAAGATAAGAAATTTGTCCGTACCTTCCTTCTCAGTTTTGTATTTGTATTCGAGAGCGTTCCAAATCTTCACCGGAGACTCCATCGAGTTGTAAAGATCGTAGAGCCTATCGGAGAGAGTGTAGAGAATATGACCTTGGCATATGATTTCATCATCTCCTCGCTTCTTTCTTGTGGTCTTTAATTCTTTAGAATCATCCTCTTTTGGTTCAGGAAGAGGCTCCAATTTCGGATCAAGTACATAGGCGATCTTAAGCACGGTGAGAAGAAAGAATAACTTTCCTTTCCAGCGGGTGAAGTTGGTACCATCAAAACGATCAAGTTGAACATTAGGATTGAGGAAAGACGTCATGTTCTTTTCAACCTCCATTGCAGCAAGTAATAAAACCTTAAAGATTTATAAACCCTTGAACACAATATCCAGCAAAAATATTTAGTTCCAGAACAATGTATATCAATCTGTTTTTTCTGAAGTCCATCATATAAAGACAGGGATGCATTCATCCTCTTTAAGTGTTACAACCTTTCACATAAAGATACATTTTCAATTTGATGGTTATCTTTTATATGCTGATACACTTATAACAATAGTTATTTCTATTGTTAATAAGTGCTCAGATATGTGAGAAAACATATCACAAATAGATGCAATAGTTCGAGACCTTTTCAGATCACTAAAACACACGAACACATTTTCCGTCGAAGATTTGCGCTGCAGCGC